GTTCCTTGCGCGGACTTGCAAGGGCCCAAGCCGTCAATTCGGCTGTCACAACCTCGTCTTCGGAGCGCTGCTATGCGGCGAGGGCTCGTCCTAGCAGCGGACCGCTCACCAGAAGTAAACATAGCGCGAAGGGGCGCTGGGCGTTGGTTTGCAGGTGGCTGTTTCTTGTCTGCTCTAGACTTCGTATCGCAGCAGCTGAAGCCTATCAAATAGCTGGTAGCAAAGCTTTGTTCCGGTGCTAAAATACGCGCGCTATATCCCCGCACCGCTTCAGGCATTTTAACTGGAGTAGACCCGTAATTTATCCGAGGCTTAACTAACGCGCCCCAGAGTGTGCTACTCCAGATTTCTCACTCCACTCATTTTCTCCACGCTGGAGGCGGGTCTGACAACACGGCTCTTCTCCACGTTTTATCATTGCGAATTTGCTGCCGTCCTGCCACCGTTAAAACACATCTACCAAGAAAGTTAATTTAGATATCTCCATGCTGTCAGCTCATTCTTGCATCTTAACGTCACTATCCCAATCCTGACTTCCTTCCGCCCCATGAACCAGCTACTTGGGTATGGTCCCCGGTATTGAAATGCTCGCGTTAGTGATACCCCGAGCAGCAACGCCTTCATCTTACCCCAAAAACGGAATTGTACCGGTGCAGGCGGACGGAGTGCGAAGTCGAGCTTGGTTTCTTCCTTTACAAGCTAGCCGTGGCTTGGTACTATAAGTCTTGGAAACGTCCGCTGACGCGGAGCCGCCGCCTCGCACTACAATGCGCAGGTGCCGTTGATATTTGACACGTGCTTACCAGTGAAACTAGGCGTGATATGCCATGGCTTATCAGATGGTTGGTCCTGGGAGCCTTGCGTATTCAAAATGCACTACTGATAATACATACTGCGTAGTGTGCGCAGGTGGTTCTAAATGCGGGGACTTTGTATGGGGCTGCTATTTGATTTGTGATGGCATGCTGCGAGACCTGAAGCCAGGAATTTGGGATTTGACTGGCGCGGTGGATGGCTCCGATGCAGCGGTACTGTTCTTCAGGTATTCTGCGTTGTCCCCACATTCCGACTTGGTAATCGAGATTGTCCGCACTGGAGTGTTTGGAAAGACTACATTCTATAATGGGCTTCTCGTCTTCGTCGTGTACTGTTTACCGGCAATCCCTTTATATTCGCCTTGTCATCGATTGCACGTGCGGCTCATTATGAGCCTAGCGCCTGGGACCACTGAATACGAAAACACGGGGATTGTACGAAGAGGAGCCTTGAAAGACACCAGTGCGTTACATCAATGAGTTTCCAGGCGACACCCGAAAGCCTGGGTCGTACTTGCCCAGACAGAGTCGAGTGCACATCGTGACTGCTCTCTCACGCGACTTGTGACGCGTGACCTGGTTTGCACTGATTCAGCGCCAATGGTACGAGCGCAAAACATGAATCAATTTCTTTCGGAAAACAAAATCACACTCAACGCCACTTGCGATATCCACCACACATGGTAACTCGACAAAGCAATTTGACATTTGTTTCTCTGCTGGTGTTTAGGAGATTCACTAGTCAGCTGCGGGGATTCCGTCACACACGGCACGTTACTATGTCAGCTGGCCGTCATAGTCTCAACACATCGTGCAAACACACAAACCAACCAAGGGTTGCGCTCTTACATCCGACATCATGCGGGGCGCCTGAAGTATCTCAGAGTACGAGCGCAACGGGTTGTTGGTGGCGCCTAATATCCGGTTTGAAATAATTGGACGAGCCCGTATGCGTTTAGGTTTCCATTCTTAGCGACCCTCGCAACACGACAAGAGCCAGACCGAAGTGAAAAGCGCGCGAAGTTTACCACAGGAGGGATCGAGTTAGTGCAATGAGGACGAAGTAAGCTTTCGCGCGTGCGGATGCGGCGCAGATAAGGTAGGCCTGAGTACACGTCTCACACACCTCAGCAGCTAGCCAGATTTGGGGGTTGAAATGCTGATACCAACATTCAACATCCAACTTGCTCTGGTCACTCATGCCAAAGAGTTTCAAAATTGTCCCAGCAGTTATCTGGATTACACTGAAAGTAATCATCGATGCTCAGATCAATTATATACAGCCAACCCTTGAATGCTTGAGCCCATCGTCGCCTAGGACCTGTGAGCGAGAACTGTACTTTCTGCAGGAACACCCACCTTTACCACTGCAGTTGCCGTATCAAGCACATCTAGTTCAACATTTCAGTCGCCGGAGAGAGACTCACAATTCGGGGATTCGATTACATGCTACACTTTATCGGCACAGCAGCCAGCAGAGCAGCCTCTTTCAGTGTCACAGCTCTCACTGTCACTATTGGAGGCGCTTATCATGAGTGCTAGTAGCTTTTACACTGCACTATCAACCTTTGGTCCTAGCGCCGTGGAGACCAGTCTCGGGGATATTGACGATGCTTTCATAGGTCATACATCTGAACGCTACAACAAGAACCTTCAATGACATCGAACAAGTACAGCAAATCAGCAACCATCTAATTTGTCATGCGACAATTCTTTGTTATTTCGAATAACCCTCAAGGTCTCGCACTTCCATCTCCAATCAATTCGTCAAGATACTCGCTCAATTATGGACGCATGTCCACAACGAATTCAGGCTCTCCAGTCCACTCGAACGACGTCTGGATCTGGGATGGTAGACAAGCTATCTTGACTTCATCAGAAATGAATGAATTCGCTACACAAAGCCCCATTACGTTGTTCTCCGACCAAGAAAGGACGCTGATTGCTCAGTCTCCTGTAGAAGGGGATAATTCCCCCGAACATAGTTTGCTGCATATTGGGCCTTGTTTTTGAGAAGGATGAAGAGTTTCAAGAACATTTGGGTGTTCATGTTGGAGACGAAAGAAGTAGGGTAGGTAGTGGCGCGTTCGTGACATGGTTTCTGTAGAGCAGCTATCCCCCGCAGTGAGGATTTCTTTGCTATGGTTACACGTGTACACACGAGAGATGGCTGAGTGTCCAATTTACCGTCATATACCGGCATTACCTCTTCTCGGCAGCTGAAGATGATAATGAGCCGCGCTTGATGGCAGTCAAATGTTTACTTTAAGATAGGAATATATTTTAGTAAAAAGTAAAGTTCGTCACTTCCGAACAAGCACTCAGCACACTGAATGAACACAGTCAAAGTAGAAGAATTTTCACCTGAAGTATTAGCACGCACTTGCGTCATCTTGGGGGCAGAGGAGACAGTGTACCAGACAATATTTCCTATCACGGATTTTGCTACGACGATACCCAAGGGAAGCTGGGTCACTATAGGTCATCGCAAGTATCGAGATCGTGTTTTTGCGACTGTAAAACCATCGTATTCATATGTACAAATATTACCTTCGTTACTCCACCGCGACTAGATCAACATGAATGCTTTTCTCTCTTGCGTCACTAGTGCCTCGAGTACGCTAGCGGTCAATGCATGGGTGGTGATTCATTTTACAGTTTCAGACGCTCTACCCAATATCGCAGAGTAGATTGCGATATGACAGCGTAGCCACGAGATATTTCTTTGAATGAAATGAGCTTTTCGTGCTCGCCTTGTCGGAACATTGACACCTGTGCGAGAGGATTGGAAAAGTAGTATGCCATGTTCGACTTATCATGCATCGGAAAGTAGACACAATAAAGCTCGATCAGCCTATGTTTCGACTGAAGTCATGCTTTCAGCGGTCTCTCCGACTTTGAAAGACTTTTTCTCTCGCTGTGGTGTACTGTGTTCGCGCTTCCATTACTACTGTTGAAACCAACGGTCTTTTCGATACCAGACCTCTACTGCTCCCTATGAAGAGGTGTTTATGCCACCACTCTTCTGACTATATCAAAGTTAGATCTTGGTGTTGATTGTGCTCCCTATCGTAATTGCCAGACTCAGGATTTGCAGCATTCGATCTTATTCTGATTCAACTTGCGCGAACATAGTTGCAGCCACTGGACTCGGATGAAGATAATACATGGTATACGCACCTCCGTCGATTGTCAACGAAGCCATGGCTTGGACCCTTAGCGATTCACTATATGCTAGAAATTTTCTTGGAATGTTCGGAATTAGCAACATGGAAGCGGAATTATTCGATCAGACCGAGAAATAGTTCTTTTTTTGTTCGCGTATATATAGACATGTAAGTTTTGGCCCCAACATCCAGGAATGTTGTTTCATTTGACCCAGGTCGTGATAGTAGAATCTATGAGGGAAGTCGTAACACAGGGACACGCAAGTCGAAAAGGTAGGAGTTGATAGTCGTAAATCATAGCCAGAGGGGAAGTTTGACTACGGAGTTGCAAATGAGTATCACCAGATAATCATTGCTGTGTGATTGCAAGCTAAGAACAAACTGAAGCTACTGGAGATTGAGAAGCATTGATATCCCCAAAAAATGATGAATAGGGGATAACAATTGTTATATGGAGGTCGGCCAAGACGGGCAAGCGTCAACTGAAATTCCAACAGTGGACGCAGGTGGGTAACCGTATGTTGATCAGCTTCCTGATCTCATTCCACGCCACCAAGCCCTTGGCCAAGCCCGCAGGATGCAACGCCACGAATCCTTAGGCTGCGATCCTTCATGCCACTGCGGAAGAGTCGGGACTATCAAACGTGGTTCGTGGATGATCTCTTTCAATACTCAGCGTCCAGTCAAACACGTTTGGTTTCAGTGGGCTTGTTGGAGTGGGGATTCGATGGTGGAGAGACATTATCCGGAACATGTATGCACCGAAGACCTGTGAATTGCGTTTGAGGATGATTATGCCTGGGCATCAGTTACAGCTGCCTGGGTCGATACAGCGCGTAGACATCAAGGTAAGATGCTGTGGTACTGTTATGACCGGCGTCGTATGATATCACATACCGAAGTAACGGCTTGCCGTATGCAAGGTTATTATTGATCGAACCACAAAGCTTTTGTGCGTGAGATGAGGTATGGAGGATGTCCTAGTACGAAAATGAACTGTGCAGAAGCAACGCTGCGCTCATGGCCCTTCCACGACATCGACAAGGCTAGAGTGATGCTCAAATTGCTCGTGCGCCCCTTGGATACGGAAATAGCCAGAGATTGCTTCTAGAAAAGCAGTACCACCAGCCTGCACCTCGTGCGAATATCGATACACTATACACACCTTGGCGCGTTGGGAGCTTGGTATGGCACAGTAGTACAGATGCAGCGAATCAACAGCCAACAATAGATTGAGCGATCCTCGTATTCGCCGCGAAACCAGGTTCCCGGTCTTGCGCTGATTCCTACCCATCAAGGGGAACTGGACGCGTGCTGATGAAGCGTTCACAGGCTTGCCGGCCCTAGACGGATAAACTCAAGCCGTCAGAGCGTCAGTCGTCGAGGAAAGGTTTGGGAACTTTGGGGAAAGATCGGGCGCTATCGGACGCTTGGCCTACCTTAATTTTCCACCGGTTCCGGTTGACCCCTCAAACCGCGTGCTAGGAGCTGCCAGTTTACGGTACGACGCTCCGATGGCGCAGTTCTGGACTTGCGGCTCAGAGCACGTGGGCTTGTTATCGCTCCAGGGCTTCGCATTTGGCAGGTGGCGAGCTGAAAGCGACCAGGCAGTCGCAATCAAGGGCGAAAATTGCGAGTGGACACGTTGCGCATGTGAAGCTGATCTGAGCGGGTTCATAATACGAGCAAATCATGGCTGACGGGGCAGTGCGACTCATACTCGGGAGGGGTGTCTTTGGCGAGAGCCAAACCCCGGGGATAGCAGCGGAAAGGAAATTATGCTTAAGTCTGCGCCAACCTTATCTGCAACCTTGCAGATGTAAGCGAAACATTCGATTACTGAGCGCGCGGATCACCGTTTATTCACGCACATGGCAATTTCGGAGTAGAAAAGCTTGCTCGCGAGAAAACAGAATGTTTTTCTTCAAACTCGTGGTTAGTTTAAATGGAAGGATGTAGGAGCAACTCCGATCCTATGATGAATTCATCCGGCATGTGGAGAAGCCAACGCTGGGCAGTCTTGACAAGTCGGATGACGCGGCTTTTGAATGAGTGCGCTGATAAGACAAGCAGCGGGCGCTGTCGTGAACGTGGAGAAGGGCGGCCTTGGCCACTCATGGAAACAACAATCCTGTGTGTTACTTGGCAGGCTTGAGTGTGACTGCGCCAATGGGTTGGACTCGGGCCTTTGTCTCTCTCGGGCAGCTGAGACGCTAGGTTCCATGGCGTCTTGTACGAGTACCCGTTCATACTCTATCGTCTTGGGCAAGTCTTGACGATGAGGAGAAGGTCCGCTGCCAGCTTGGTATACCATGTTGCGGAATCTCGCGGGAAGTGAGATATCGTCATTGGCAAAGCACTGCCACGATGACTGTACTGAAGTGAGGAGTCTCGACAGCTTGGTTATCCAGCTTTTCCCTATGGAAGCGTATATGCGATGGCCCTGTGATACCGCCAGCGTGGGTAAGTCGGATGCTCGTGGGACGGTAGTAAGCTTAAACCGCAGGCACCAAGCTTAATCAAAGTGCTGGCCGAGCATTTAAGCGAATGAGCTGAGAAGCAGTAGGCGCTGGATTACGTTACTGTGGATCAGAGCGGATGTCTGTTCTAAGAGCGGAGTGAAGCCTGTAAAGCGGAGGCCTGGTTGGCGGGCGCAGTCTCCACGCCACGCAGCAAGTTTTGCAGGCCGTTGTTAGCTTGCGTGTACCAAAGACGAATACAGTGTACCTTGGAGGGCAAGCGGCACAAGATGAGTATACGTTAGCCGGGCCGTGTAAGTAATCCTTCGCTACACTAAGGAAGCTCCTTTCTCCTGCAGGTCAGATGTTTGTCCGCTACCAAGGGCGCCGAGCGCACGACAGGTGGAGATTTCTTAGAGGACCGAGGCCAAGCATGCCATGGCCTGCCACAATCTGAAGCAGACTGAAAAGTGAGTTGGTTTTGGGTCGACACGGACTTTTTGGAACGCCTTGGCTGTGCTTGGTGTATTGCTACTAGCGGGGCCAAGGAGGACAAGTCGGATTGACGGACTGATGGACCACACCGCGAAGTCTTGGGAGGTGTCAGCACTGGGGTCGCTGTGGGTCCGCCAAGGGATCGAAGGCTTGTCGAAAATAAAGATTCGTTTAGAGTTATCCGGCTGGTAAAGCTTGGCTGATCGAGGCCAACGCCGCTGGGCGCTGGGTCGGACTGGGCGCGCAGTGGCTTCGGCGTGTGCAAGCCGCTAACATAGCAGCTCGCTGCAAACGACGCTGCATGTCTTTCGAGCGAGTTGTTTGGTGGCACAGGGCGGCTTGATGGATATTGGGGGCTGTGTGTGTGGGTTCTTCTGTGGACGCTCCTGGGTGGCTCCGCTGGAACGGACGGCCAGTGAGCAGCTAACGAGGGTCCAAATAAAGCTTGTCGCGCGCCTTATTTCGCTATCAGACGCCACTCCACGTCTCGGCGGGCGATCAAGACGACGACCCCAGCGCCCAGAAAGGGCCAAAGACGCCAAAGAAACATTGCTGGGTCCCAAGACCGCGCTGCTGCGAGTACATGAGGGCGGATGACTGCTGCTGCCTTTTCAAAAGTTTCGCTCTCCGATCCATCTTCCCCAGCTTCCGTCACTCAACGCCGCGTCCCTACCAAGTGGACCATTGCCGCGCACGCCTGTTAATACGCTGACTCTGTTTCATTGCCGGCCCGTTTCACGTCACCGGACCTCGACACACTTGATCTCATCGCACTGCCCCATATAGAGGTTGCCGCGGCTTTGTAGACACTGCTCGTCACAGTCACACACGCCCTACTGTAAGTCTCTATTTATGTTTCGTGTCTGCTTGCGGCCTCTGCTGCGCCGTTTTCGCTTCGCTGTTCCTTGGTTTGCAATATTCCGACTTTCATGCATGCGCACCGTCACTTTTTCCGACTCTGCCGGAAACCCTGCATTCCAAGGCCATTACAACTGTCGTATTGCCTTGCATCCAAGAAACTTATCCCACAATTTGGACTAACGCAAGCCGATTAGCATCGATGAGGTCTTGACGCCTCGACACTATCACCATTACATCCCCTCCACAAATATTTCGCAATGGAGACCTACCACGGACATGTCCGCACGCCTAACGATGCCATCATCTTGTTTGAGGCCTGCCGCATCGGCATACTACCGCGAGTGCAGCGCCGCCTATCCGAAAAGGAACGCCAGCAGATCAAATCTGGCTCAGTATTTGTGTGGGACGAGCGCGAGGCTGGCATGAGGCGGTGGACCGACGGAAAGTCATGGAGTGCGAGTCGCGTGTCTGGCAGCTTCCTCACATACCGGGAGATGGAGGGCAAACGGGGAGGCAGCGCAGTACCCACAGCCCCCGTAGCTAAAAGAGCAAGTGGAAAGTCGCCAGACGGTTCCGGCTCCGGCGACTCAGAGGGCGAGGGACCCGACGGCTACCGGTACAAGCCTGATGGTCTCATGAAGCAGTCGTTCAGCATAACCACCCAGAGCGGACAGCACCTCCACCTCATCAGCTACTATTCGCGATCAAACTCCAACAACCTCCCACAGCCCACCAACGACGCGCAACTGCGACACATCCGCCCACCAAAGAACATGTACCCGGAATCGGCAGTGAATGAAACCCAGACTGTACCTGCTGTCACTCGTGGTCCCATGCCTGGCTCACCATACAGCGCACCTGGACATAGCATGGCGCCTTCATCGCCGTACACTCGCGGTGGTCCTGTCGCACCCATGTATGCGGTCCCAGTCTACCCTCCCACGCCGCCAAATGGCACACCTCCGCTATACTATTCCCAGCATCCTTACTTCTACCCGGGCGTTATCTACGCGCAGCCCCAATATCATCCGCAACACGTCTTCGATCGCCCACCCCCACCAATCGCACACCCTCACGCTCCTCAAGGCCACCATCCTATGCTAATGCAGCACCCCGCCTATGCCGCGCACGCTGCTCAGCAATACATGGCGACACCACCGGTCCGCCATCCTTCCACAGCTGAGCAGGCTCAACACCCACACCTTCAGCGATCCAGTGCGCCCGCACCTCCTCCAGCGCCCGCACCAGCGATTCCTGAGCAAGGCCCCCAGCTTCCTGCCATTAACGGTGCTGCTGCTGCCGCCACAGGTGCGAACAAGCCACCGACTCCAGAGCCCTCAGACAAGTCAGAATCACGAGCACCTGAGTCAAATAGCGCAGCCCCAGCAGCATCAAGACCACTTCCTACATTGGGATCGCTCCTTAACGGCGAAAATCAGGATAAGGACAACCAAAACAACAGCCGTTCAGGCAGTCGCAGCCCTAATACTGCAACGAGGTTTCCCCGAGACTTGGCGCCGGAACGACTTGCTAAGAACAGCACTGCTGCAGATAGCAGCGCGCTGAACAAGCTCAACAGCGTGTTCGTGCGATCATAGTGATGCGCTTTGGTCTATGTCTTACTCTTCATCTCCTGCTGCGATGTGGCATCTTTTCTTTCTTCTTTCTGACACTTCAATTCTGTACTCTTTATTCTCTCCGAGTGCGGGAGGTTGTCTGAAGCATTTACGAACTGCATATGGGCGGCGTTCGGGTATCACGGCTACATGCACAATCATGATAAGCCTGAGGTTGGGGGGAAATGGGATGCGCGATTCTTAGCATCGGCCGATATTCGGGCCTGGAGTTCCACGGTTTTTTGTGTCACTGTCACAGCTTTGTTCGTTACGAAGTTCATGGTTTAACGCTAGCTACGAGGTGCTTGCTCTGCAAATTCAAACTTCGAGCCATTACCATATGTTCGTTGCAAACTAGTGCTTTTCTCGTGCTCAGACGTCTGCTTTAGAGTTTTAACGTTGCTTTATGCTTAACATGTCTGATCGCGGCTAGCGATAAGCTTTCAGCACTGACATCATCACCATCACTCACCAGCCCCTTCACCCGACCAGCACACAGCCAAGCCTACTATCGTACCAAGCCCAACTCTTGCAATGCCTTGTCTGCGCCTCCGCAGAGCTTCATCACGGCAATTACCCAATATCTCCGATCTTTCGGAGCAACCACCTAAGGCAGCTTCCTGTTATGGAAGGTCACTTGTCTATCATGTAGCGCTTTCGCTGACGGTTGGCCTATCTTGAATAGCCCGCGGATCAACGCTCTTGATACCCCGCAGTGGTACGGCTACAGCACTGGCAGATGCAAGCGTATCGCGTTTAGGCAGGGGTAGCTTATCAACAAGGATGGACGTCAACGGCGCGTTGAGCCATCAGTTATCGTTCTGTCGGCCTGCTTGCCACGATTGACATCTTGCTACTGCTATCTTCCATGCGACGGTCGGTATATGAGCTTATGACAGAAGACGTTTGATGGTTTTAACTTTGCGCCTCTTCACCCTTGGTTAAAGCGACTTCTAGCCTGTTCTGCTATTCGAACAACGACGCGGAGACAATACGCCATGGCGTCTGCCACAGATCACCCACCCACACAAGCGATATCGCCACTAAATACCGCGCCGACAGATGTCGAGAAAGAAGCAATCGTTGAAGACAACAGCAAAGGAATCAAAAAGGTTCTCGATGAGAAACTGCTAAAACACTCGCACGATGCAGATGCGGCGATGAAGGCGTACGAGGGAATGGAAGGCCAGGTTGTGGAGTTGACAGAGGAGAAGAGCAAGGCACTTTTAAGGAAGATCGATATGCACATGATGCCTGTAAGCATATATTCTTCTGCGATATCTTTGTAAATCATGATTGTTGACTAACAAACTCTGTAGATTATGTGCATTGTGTATGGCTTGAACTACCTTGACAAGACGACGTTGAGCTACGCAAGTATCATGGGCCTGCGACTGCCTCCTTCAGACAACAAGCTAGCTTCTGGCATCGGTCTAGTCGGAGACCAGTACTCGTGGCTAGGTAGCATGTTCTACTTTGGATACATTGCTTTCGAATATCCCACTACACGATTACTCCAAGTTCTGCCGCTGGGTAAATACTGTATGTCGCTTTCGTCTCTTCTGCCCTAGAATTTGAGAGGTCGAAAGTTGGACTTGGCTAACATGATATCAAAGCTGCATTCAACATCATCATGTGGGGCCTTGTACTCTCCTGCTTCGCCGCAGTTGAAAATTACGCCGGCGCGATCGCCATTAGATTCTTTCTCGGTGTCTTCGAATCAGCAGTTACACCTGGTTTCGCACTCTTCACATCGCAATGGTATACCAAGAAGGAACAGGGTTCACGTACCGGTATCTGGTTCAGTTTCAACGGCTTTGCGCAAATATTCGGAGGATGTGTTGCTTATGGCATTGCTGTGGGCTGTCGGAAGTCGGGCACTACTCTGGAGCCGTGGAAGATCATCTTCCTCGTTACTGGACTACTCACTATGTGCCTGGGTATCACATTCCTTTGGCTTGTACCCGATAACCAGTTGAATTGTAGGTGGTTGAGCAAGGAAGACCGGATCTTGGCGATCGAGCGGATTAGGATCAATGCGCAAGGTGTGGGTAACAAACACTTCAAGTGGTATCAGTTAAAAGAGGCGCTGCTTGATCCGTTGAGCTGGGCATTCTTCTTCTATGCGTTAATTGCTGATATACCCAACGGTAAGATACGGCGCTCATGTCCCTGCCAGTTTAGATGCTAACGAATCTTCGAGGTGGCATATCAAACTTCTTCTCCCAACTTATTGTTGGTTTCGGATACACACCCGAGGAGTCTCTTCTTTACGGTACACCGGGTGGCGCAGTCGAAGTCGTCTTTCTTATTGCCTGCGGCTGGGCCGGCGATAAATACGGGTACCGTATCCTTATATCCATGATCGGTCTGTGTGTTGCAATACTTGGGATGGTTCTCATTGTTGCACTTCCGCTATCTAACAACTCTGGTCGTCTCGCTGGCTACTACCTAACGCAAGCTAGCCCTACGCCTTTCGTTGCTTTGCTCAGTCTCATCTCGAGTAACGTAGCAGGATACACAAAGAAGACGACTGTGGCGGCTATGTATCTGATTGGTTACTGCGTCGGAAACATCATTGGTACGTACGACCAATATACTTTCCGAGATCGGGCAGTATAGACTGACATAACTATCATTTGTAGGCCCACAAACATTCCGTCCCCAAGATGCGCCTCGCTTCGTTTCCGCCGAGATCACCATCATCGTCTGTTGGGGCGTTTGCTTAGGCATCTTAGCGTTTATTCATTTCTACTGCGTGTGGCAGAATAAGAAGAAGGCGCAGATTCGCGCGGCACCTGAATACGTGAAGCTAGACAACCAAGAGTAAGTTTGAAACGCGAAATATCATGGATGAGATCAGTGAGAGCTAATTATATGTCTAGGTGGCTTGATCTTACAGATCGGGAGAATCCAGAATTCATTTACACGTTGTAGCAAGATAGTCAAGCGGGAAGGGAGCATGTTCGAAATGAAGAATCTGCTAAAACCATACACTTGGTAATCTTAATGCAAGCAAGAATGAATGCTACATACTACAATAGACGTAGTAAACCAGAAGAGTGTGCCCATAGAACAATCATAGTAGTAAGCTGCCAAGCACATACCCATTGCATCTTGTGAAACTTCGTGTTTGTCCGCCAGGACTCGCTCAAGACTTCACATTCCCACACTCAATCTGCTGATCAACCAGTTCGCCAACTGCATCCTCCAACGGCCTCCACTTGATTCCTAACACCGTTTCTGCTCTCTCTGTCCTCAATTTCAACAATGGCCCATCTTCTAATGCGACAGCAAGCCACGGATAACTCTTCTTCACAAAATCTGCAATGCCTCGCCACGTCCAATCAGGCGCGCTAATCAGGAACTCTGCGACTTGGCCCTTGATACCGAGCTCGTCATCCGTAGGCTTTAGCGCGCATAGGTGCGCGCTTGCTACGTCGCGTACATCAACGCCAATCCCATGCAAGAGTCCCTCGGGCGCGAACAGTGAGTCCCAGACGTGCGCGTTGCTGCTGCCTTGGACTGTAGGCGATGGCTGTAGAAGGTGACGGCCGATAACAATAGAAGGATGCAGGCTGACGACGGCGAATGAAAGCTTACCGGCGGTGCTCTGCTGCTCAACCCAGTCGAGGCAGGCGCGGTGGGCGAGCAATTTGGAGGCTTTGTACTTGACGATGGTGGGAGCGGAGGGGCCTTGTGACAAGGGGTGAGTCTGGATCGATTCGAATCGTGCGGTTTGTGCCCTCTGCAGATGAAGTTAGTGATGTAGTAGTCTCAGGTGGAGGAGGGAGAGGTTCGAAAGGGGAAGGTACGTTCGATCGTTGAGAATGTTTGACGACGTACCCTTAACTTCAAAACTGTCGGCATCATCTATCTCCAGTGGCATTAACGAGGTCATGGACGAGTCGATGATGACACGCTTGATCGACGGAACAGACTGGGCGGCTTCGAGCAGCGACATGGTTCCCTTGATGGTGGGGTTCAAATAGTCCTCCTTGAAGTCAGTGCTTTTTCCTGGGACGGGCGATGCCAGATGGAAGACGTTGTCGACGCCAACCAGCGCGTCTGAGAAGGGACGCTCTTTCGTAATGTCTTCGATGACGACAAACTCGAGTTGTTCGAGATGCTGCGAGAAGACTTTCTTGAACGTCTCGATGGATTCCTCCCTCCGCACTGCAAGGCGAGCGCGGTAGCCAGCTTCGAGCGTCTGCTGAACAACATGACCGCCAATGAAACCTGTGCCGCCAGTGATTAGCACAAGTTCTGAAGACATAGCCGCTCGGGATGATAGGCGGCTCTAAGTTGATACAAGTCAGGGGGGAAGTGTGCTCTTCTCTCTCACTTTCCTAAGAAGAATTGCTATATTATAGACGGACTTACGTTCAGTAAACAACTTCTACGCTGACAAATTGACAGGCTTAGCTGGTGACGTATTAAGGGACTACTGCGAGACGCTGCGAAGATCTCCCTAGATGACTCACATTTATGCCATCTCCGAAAGACCTCGGACCTCACTCTTGATAGTATCTCGATCGAGAGTACCACCGCATAAAATAGAACGCTAGTCTGACCAGCAATTGTTTTCGACATCTTAAAGTATTCGGCAAGAGCAAGAGCGGAGGAGCCCTCGACGATCAGGTCCCCGTCAAATGCAAGTATGGTACGAATATCGTTGTATGGCGGAAGGTAATCGTATCCCCGAATCTTGGCCAGCTTTACCTACACAACACTCTTTGGAATAACAATCATGGTCTCCTTGGAAATTATCTTCGCTGCGTGTGCTGTGTCAATCGCGTGGTTGCCAGATGATGCTGTGATAAGTTTTCGATTACCGGTTTGAACAGAAAGCTTAGACATGGCACCTCTTGATTTGAAAGAGCCTGTATATTGGAAGTTTTCTGCCTTGAACAAACCATCTAATATATCATTCTTGCCAACCTAGAATGCCGATTGACGAATTCAGTGTATATCTTGCATTGGATTCGTACGCGGAAGTCCTTGCCTGCTTGGCCGGAAGCAGGGGTGTTTGGTAAATATGACTCCTAACACGGTTCCTTGACTCAGGTAACACAATCTTGTCTTGTTAGGTCTAGATCGTTGTTAGCCAAGACATTGCTCTCTCGGAGATGGACGTCGGAGAAAGGCTCGGAGATCTTCTACAGTCGTTGCAGTGCGGAGTGCGGAGTGACTATCCCACTCCGTGGCCAAGATATTCAAGTACCAAGAACGTAGTGCAATCGGAATCTCTGAGGAACCTCAGAGTCACCAATCTGTCACGTCGAGACTTCTCTTGTTGCGCATTCGCTCAACGAAAGTGTGTGCGGAATGCAGAGGTGGATGTAGCTAATCAGTCAACCGATTTGTAGTCTTCACGCTACCGTTAATATCTTCCCCCTCGAGTCCAACGCCCAATTGACCTCCAAGCCAGACTCATCGATCTTCTGCGCCTTCGTTTGTATCCAACTCTCCTCTTTCAGCTCCATCTCCCTTCTTCTACCCAGCTCTTCCAACAAATCATTAAGTCTGCTATCAACAACACTTAACCATATCCTCACAGCCTCACCCTCCACTCTAGCCCGTCTAGTCATCCACCAAAGCGTGCCATTCCGACACATTTGGAACCACCAACCTAACAGGAACACTGCCTTTGGATCCTTCTGCTCTAGCAACTCTAGAAACTCTGGCGTGATGAACGCTGTAAAATACAAGAATTCTAACACATTACCATGTGACAGTTGTAAATGCCGAATCCGCGACAAGATCAGAACAGGGAGATGATAAACATTGTCCTCTTTACTAGACAACGGTGTGATCCCGAAGATAATCTTTACGCTCTCTGGAACAAGACTGATGTCGTTGTTCTGCATCCAGTCCGGCGGTGTAGTGCAAGGTCCATGATTTCTTGCTAAAACACGCCTAAACACGCTATCCTCCCTTGTAGGATCAGCAATCCGCCAGAGATGTCGTTTCCCTTCTCCAATCTTCATCCAGGAGAGATCGCCAGGCTCTGAGGGCTTCAAAGGCCAGACAGTATAGGGGTCGTCGGATTCAAGGTACCAGAAGGATGCAGCACCGAGGTGCACTCCAGTGGCCCAGATAGCGTCGCGGTGAGAAGGTGATATGGGGCCATTCAGTATACGGTGGTAGAGAGTGGTCGCTTGGTCCCAGTGATAGAGAGACTTGCGCTGGAGCGTTGCGGATTGGGAAGTGGAGTAAGGAAGAGAAAGCGATGAGTCGTGCATTAAAGTCAAGCCGAGGATCATGTGCATCAGGAAGGGGTGCTGGGTATAGTTAGCATTGCTTCATGGCTGCGTACAGGGAGGCTGGAGGTACTTTGAACGCGAGTTCACATACTATTTCCCTGTATGCTGGGGCCATTCTCTCATCTAGATAGGGTCAGTCAGCCGAAGGCTACTTCGTACCAAACTGTGATCCATACCTCCAACAGTCAGAGACGTCCGACTTTGGAACCTCGTAAGAATCTCCAGATGAGTCTCTGAGAATTCCCAAGACGAATTGGCAGTTCCTAGCGCAGCACCAGGGCCCGAGCATACGTCTGAACCTGAATACCCGGATTGGAGAGAACTCTCAATCATAGAAGCCAAGGTGCTGTTCATCGATACAGAACACCACGGCGTGCCAAGATTGCTGCTTGTCCAGTCATTCGACAGCGCATTTGACGGCACGTTATTGATCGCCCCTGGCTTCACAATCGCCGCGTCGAAATCAACTCTTCCTACACCCATCATACGTACATCTAAATCGCCCTTTTCGCCACTGAAGTCACAAACTACACCGTAGCTCTTGCATTTTTCGCACCGTGGTCTCGTTTCATCGCACTATTCCCATGGTACATTCCGTCAGCCCAGTCCGACCCAGTTCAAGCATTCTCGAAGGATCGTCATAGACGAAGACTAACCTTGACTCGTCTCAGTTTGCAATTCTCACACCCTTTTCTTGACTTCGCATGGACCCGTCTCTTCCGTTCTATCATAGTCCCACGTTTGGATACGATGGCTGGCATGATCAACGGCTAAGAGTGGATTGGCAAGACTGGCAAGACTGGCAAGACTGGCAAGACAGGGGCGAGGCGAACGAATCTAACCCGCGTTCGTGTTGCGCAGAGACATGTCATGGCGTCCGTGTCTCTCCGCATGTTATATACAGCGGGCATCGGAGTTTAGCCTTGTTCATCACCGGTGGCAGCAGGGCGTAAGCGATGAGGTCGTGGCGCATACAATGAGGGCCTAAAGGATTCCGCGCTAAGAGTCTGGTCTAACCGGCGTTCGTATAACAGCAGTCATCGTCATTCTGATTGGCTGTACAGCGAGGTGAGCGACAATGACATGCCTAAGTATGTATTCGCATTTTGCGTCGCAAATTCCATGTCGGACTGTACCAAAGTCCGGCAAGCAGCTGATATTCGTAAACTCCGAGAGGGGGCGGCGTGTCGCTATGCAGGAAAGAGCTCGGTAGGCTGGAACGGGACGGGTTAGATGGCCATAGTAGAAGGATTGTACGTAGTGTTGAAAAAGTATAAGTACAGTTGCGCGCAACCAGAAAGAATGGAGAAACAGTACAAAAGATATCAATCTCAACCCACTTCTTCATTCAAATCTCTCAGACCATCAGAAGTTCCACTCTTACCTACATCCCAGCATGTCTTCTGCTCCCATTCCCCCGACCATGAAGGCCCTCTTTCAAGAGACCAAGAACGGTCCCCTTGTCCTCAAGGAGGTCTCAACCCCCCAACCTGGACCCGGTTCCGTCGTCGTCAAGATCCTCGCCAACCTCCTTCAACACCAGACTCCAGGTATCCTGGCTGGAGAAGCCGGTTTCACTTACCCCGTGCCTATGACTCCCGGTGGCCGAGCCGTAGGCAGAGTCGTCGCTACAGGACCAGACACAACATCACTACCCATCGGTCAGCTCGTTCTACTGGAGCCATTCATCCGCGCTCGCGACGATCCAGATACGTGGATCTTCTGGGGCGCAATGGAAGGCTCCAGTGAAGGATCAAAGAAGCTTTTTGCTGAGAACTGGCGGTATGCCACGTTTTCCGAATATGCGAAAGCGCCTTTGGAAGTGACTTGGGCGCTGAATGAGAATCGGCTTTGTAAAGAGTTGGGATATACGATTCCCGAACTGGTGCAGTTAAGCGTGGATGTCGTTGCATACAGTGGACTCAAAGGCATTGGGCTGACTGCCGGGGAGAGGATCATTGTCACGCCTGCTACGGGTATCTTCTCGGGTGCGGCTGTGGGCGTGGCAGTTGCGATGGGTGCTACTGTCTTAGCGACAGGACGAAACGAGGGTGCGCTTGAGCGTTTAGTATCTGCGCATCCTCAATTCGTCTCAAGGATTCCACGGACGAACGACGTCGACACGGATATCAAAAATCTGCAGCAGTATGGCTCCGTGGATGCTGTCCTCGAAATGACGCCCACGGGAGCTGAGGGAAGTACGCATGTTCGTGCAGCTTTCGGTGCAGTCAAGCAGTATGGAAGAGTATGCATCATGGGCTTTGGTGGTGGCGCCATGAAGCATGTCGAGATATCGATGATGGAGTTGGTGTACAAGAGTATTACAGTTCATGGTCATGCCATGTACTGGGGACAGGATGTGAAAGAAATTATCAAGATGGCTGAAGCGGGAGTGTTGAAGCTTGGAAAACAGAGGGGTCACGATGCCGTGACTGAGTTCGGACTTGGCGATTTCGAAAAGGGATTCGACTGGGTTGGCGCAAACCATGAGCTCGGCCAAATGGCCGTATTAGTTCCGTAGCAGTGGCTGTGTTGATTCGTAGATGGCAGCCGAAAGCGGAAGGTGCGACGGCCCTCGAATTGTCACCTTTGCATATTCAATATGTTAGTAGAATCACTGTATCTAATGCAAATGCTGGAACAAGAATTCCTTGATTCCCAGTCGGACTCGTACCGACTGTCCGGTGTAGAAGGAGCCTGGCCTGTTGCAATCTGATATAGCCCTATGCTTTACCGGCTATCCTAAGTAAAGATCCCACTCCAAGAAAATGCAGCAATCCGTCATGGTTCGTGAACGTGTCATGACCTCTTAACGCCGTGTGCCGACTTGAATAAGCCCTTCAACGATTGCTTGACAGTACGCCAGTCGCAGCTGCGACATGCAGTAGTTGTAGTCGTCGGAGAAGGAGCGCCGGTCTTTTCCGCTAAAATCGAATTGGTCGTCGAGGTGCGCGTATCGCCGCCGCGGCTCGAAGAGCGTCTAGAGATTACGCTATCGGTCTTGAGGCCCACAGGAGTCTTGTCTTTACTTCGCTCGCGCGATGTCACCTGTTCCTGAGGCCTCTCGCACCCCTAATCAATACCGTGTTGTTTTTTGAGCTTTTCTAAGTTCTCTTGGCGCTCGGCGAGATCATTTGCGGCCTTGAGCATCTTATCTGGCTGGTGATATAATACTGCGACTGTCAGTGGTTGCTGTCTCGAAGACGCGCCTGCTACTTACCGACGAGGTATCTGTTCTGGAAGTTGAAGCCGTTCAGCTTGTCGCAAGCCGACTTTGCGTCCATTACATCTTCATAGACGACGAAGGCTGTGCCCTTGGTGTTGTTGGCGATTCCTTGGCGGATCTGGCTGTGCTGGAGTTAGTGACCTGGAGCGACGGTAGCGGGCAAGATGCGCCAGCGCACAAGGAAGACGACGTACCGCACGGGGCCGAACTTGCCAAAGAGGTCGAAGAGTTCCTCTGGGGTGACGTTGAAGCTGCAGAAGGGTCAGCGCATGGCAAATCAGATAGCTCCAGCTCTGACTGACCTCAGATTCTTTACGAAGAGAGCTCTGGAGAAATGACATGTTAGCGCAGATGTCGTGTGAGTTGGTCGCACCAGCCTTGCGATTGGCACGCGATGCGGAGAAGGCGGACATACCGGTTGACTTCCGGTGCCAATTTTCCTCCTCGACTCATACTTTGGCGACTGAGATGGACGGTAAAGGACGGGCTGCTGGGTGTGTAGGCTTGGGCGGGTGGTGGGGAGGTTGTAGTGGGAAGTTGAGTTGGTGAACATGCGGGATCAATCATGGATGGCGTGCACGTCCGAGCGTTGGCAAGGCCGCATCACGTGGCGAACGCATATGATCGGGAAGAAGGAGCGACTCATGCAACGCCGAGATGGTGCTGTGAATGCACTGCAAGGGCGACGCTGTCTGCTCATGAAGAGGTTGTATAGATGATGATGGAGGAGACGTAGTAGCTGTCGCACAAGGCCTAAGGCAACGCAGCTGCGCAGCTGTAGCAGCTGGTGCCAAATAATTGAGCGCTCGAATCGGAGACGCGGACTTGCAGCGAATGAATGAAGCGGCTTGTCGACTCGGAGAGCTCCCATAGCCATCCAACCATTCGCACACTACAGACACATGCGCTTAGAGCTGCGTGTCGAGCCGCCGCAACTTGCCCTCTCTACATACGGCGCTCTGCGTGTGTTGCCGGCGCTGGCGTGGCCGAGTCTCTGGTTCAGCGATTGTCTGGGTGTCCGGTCGCAACATTCCCAATACAATCCCCGCCGACTTCTCCACCACCATCGTTCTCCTACCAAACCACCCCCTACACTCGTTCACCCTCGACCGCGCCAACCGTCGCCTCGAAGCAGGACATGCCCATGCCCGACTGCTCCTTCGCCCGTCTCTCAGCTTTTAGTGCCGCTGCTCCATAGCCGCGCATCTGTCTGAGACGCCAAACCGACGAGTACCTCGCACCTCCGAGGCCCTAGCCCACCCACCTCCGCACACACAACCACCATGAGACGAATCTCATCCTTCAAGGAGCAGTACAGGCGAGCTTCGGCGCGCGCCCCTACCCCTCCGCCGCCCGTCTACGAGCCGCTGTCGCCCATCCTGCCGCCGACAGAGCCCTCGACAGCGCACCCCGCCGGCAATGCGAATATCCCAACCGCGTCGCTATCAAGCACAAGGCATATCAATGACGCTCTGAAAAATGCATCTGCTCTCGGAGAAGGCGCGCGCGCGTCTGCGGAGCACCCATCGCCGGTGGTGACGTGTGGGCACTCGGCGCGCTCCGCACCTCCTCCGCCGCAGTATTCTCTGGCGCAGGCATCGCCCATTGAGGCCCTCGCGGATGTCGCTGTGACACGCCAGCATGCCATTCCGCAATATGTTGGGTATTCGCGCCATGCTTCATTCTCGGCCGCCTCGCCCACGACCGTCCCTTACCTGACCGGCGAACGCGCCCCAGCACACGCTCTGTCCAGAGACGCTTCATATCCTTTCGACGAGCGGCCTGCGAAGAGAGCGCGCTCCGAAGTCTATGGGTCTCCCCAGTATGGACAGTCTCAGTCGAGACCCGCTACGAGTCATAACCCGGGCTGGTCCTACAACGTCGAGCAGATGGCAGATGGCGGCAGTCGCATGCACCAAAACAGTAGCGTACCAGACGACCGCCTTGTTGAAGCTCAGCTGTTGCTGGACTTCTTCAAAGTTTCCACACAAACTGCGCATTCCCCGCCCTCGACAGCAAAGCGGTTGACCATTCCACAAACAGCGCCGGCTGAACAACCTCCACACCAGATAAATCACAAGCAAGAGCCTGCAAATCCTTACGTCGCGCCACCACCGCCGCCGCCGCCGAACCACTACAGCCAGCCTACGCAGGCACCCGTTGACATGAAACACCCTTTAGAGGCACCCTCCGATGTGGCCCAGACCACCTCGGCTGCGCAAACACATACACCGCCTGACGAAGCTCTCATCGTGGTTACACAGCCTGAGGTCGAGATGCAAGATGTCGTTCCCGCAGAAGAGCCAAAGGCAAAAAAGGCCCAGAGCTTGCCCAAAGGGAAAGGGCGCGCATCTCGTAGCACACCCTCAGCAAGTAGCAAACGGAAGAAGTCGACGCCCAAACCGAAGAACGCGACGTCTACAAGTACTTCTGGAGCCCCAGACCAACTCCAGTCGCCACTGAGTCTGCCTGCCGATCAGTCTGCTACCGTCGCAGCGGACGGCTCTGTGCCTACCGTATCTCAGGCTGAACCAGCACAAACCTCGCCCTCACAAGCCCGTCGCCATTCCTTCTCGACGTCGGCGCCAGCACTGCCAGACGGCCCGCCTCTATCGAACTACTCGCGTGCGAAATCGCTACCTCTCGGTACGCAGACAGCCGTCCCAACTCCTGTTGATGCAGTCGCTCAGCTCGCACCCGCTCCGGTCGAACCAGAACTCATATGCGCCCACTGCAAATCGTCCGAATCACCCATCAAAATCGGCGACGGCGAGCAATGGATCGGCTGCGATGGCTGCAAAGAATGGTATCACTACCCTTGCGCTGGTTTCAACAGCGAACGGGAGGTACGGGAGGTAAACAAATTCTACTGCGAACCGTGTAGACCCAAGTTTGGTGAAACAACGAGTAGGTCTACCGACGCACATTGGGCTTATAGTTCTAACATGGTCCAGAGGTTCGTAAATCCGTCAGAGCCCACACAACTGTTGACTACGCCGGTCTAAACGAGGGTGTTCTCAAAACATCTGACGACAACCCGGAACATCACTACATCGCAGCTTTCAAGAATGGCGACATCGAGTTCACGCCGGAGACGTTTGCGCGCATGCCGGCGCAACTCATCACTGGTGACTTTCTCGAGAAGATGAATGGATTCAAGGAGCCCATTGTTATCCCTGGCGACATGAACACTTCGCCGGCGACAACAGAGGAGGATGTTGCTATGGAAGACATCGATGGGCAGGCAGATGGGCCAAAACTGCAATACGAGTACGAGACAGTCGCCGATGACGGTCAGGACAGCCTTGACATGGTCATACCTAAGGGTTTGACCGTTCGCCGTGTAGCGGAACTGTACGGTCCAAATGAACCTGTCCCTGTAATTGATGTCAAAGCACAAGAAGGCGAAGGCAAGAAGTGGACTATGGGAAAGTGGGCAGACTACTACGAGCAACAAGGAGAAAAGCCCGTGCGGAACGTCATCAGTCTGGAGGTATCTCGAAGTAAGCTGGGAAAGCTGATCAGACGACCCAAGGCTGTTCGAGACATGGATCTACAGGACGCCGTGTGGCGAGAAGATGACAAGTCTGCGCCGCCACCAGTGCAGTTTTACTGTCTGATGTCTGTCGCGGACTGCTTCACCGATTTCCACATCGACTTTGGTGGTTCATCCGTGTACTACCACATCGTGAAAGGAAAGAAGGTCTTCTTCTTTATCCCACCAACAAAGCAAAACCTCAAAAAGTACGAAGAATGGTGTCTCTCACCGAATCAAGGGCACGACTGGCTTGGCAAACAAGTCAAAGAATGTTACCGAGTGGATCTGTATCCTGGAGATACCATGTTGATTCCTTCCGGTTGGATCCACGCGGTCTGGACTCCCGAGGACAGCCTCGTCATTGGAGGCAACTTCCTTACACGCATACATTACGGTATGCAGATAAAGATCTTGGAGATCGAGAAGAACACCAAGGTGGCTACTCAGTTCCGATATCCCTTTTTCCAGAAGATAATGTGGTTGACCGCCATCAAATATCTGGAAGAGGACCCTATTCCCGGTCCAGTCCAAGAGCTCCTACAAAGCGGCGAGCAGTTTAAGCGGTCGACACCTATCTACTGCGAGCCGGAAAAGTTTGGTCACAACTCACACCTTGGCGCACAAAACTACAACAAACGATACTACTCCAAGCACGAACTGGAAGGGCTGAGCGATCTGTTGAACTACATTTGGAGAACAGTCCTAATCACCGAGGGAAAGATTGATGTGCCACAAAAAACCCGAAGTGCTGTCAATAAATCGATCCCTAAGGGCCATGGCGAGCCGCTCGTGCTAGCGCGACGCTTTGCGATGTGGATTGCATGGAAGCGTGGGAACGAGACTATACCATCTTGGGCTTTCTCCGATGCTGTCCTGCCCGAAGTAATGGAGACCACTGAAAAGAAGCTGAGTGCTGCTCAAGTGAAAAGGCTGGAGCGCGAGACGCTCCATGAAGCCTTACGAGCAACGGCAGAGAGGTCTTCGGCCCGTATAAAGGCCTCTGACGTCATCCCCGAGCCTTCACCCCCAGTAGAGGTGGAGAATTACAACCACTTCGATATGGTCTCTGTCACTTCCGGTCCACTGACTGGTTTTCTGCGACCATCGGCAAGCAACCCGCACATTACGACACCGAAAACATCTCAGCTTGGCCCGAAACGTGTTGCATGCGATGCGTGTAGGAAACGCCGAATCAGATGCAAACATAAAGATGAGCTGATCGACACATCGAAGCCGGGCATGCACACCATCGACCTTTCTGGGTCATATGGCATATCTGTCAAACGTAGGCTTAGTGATCACTCCGTGGCAGATAGTTTATCGAATGCCGCCAATGGGCCAGTGAACGGCGGCCCAATCATGGCTGACGTGAACGGCGACCCTTATGCCCTCAAATCTGGCAGAGTCAAGGCGTGTGCTGATTGTAGGAAGAGCAAGCGTCGCTGCATACATGACGAATACGGCAACGTTGATCCTGTCAAGGCCAACGAGATTCCCATTCCACGTGGTTCTGCGTCAAAGAAACGAAGGGTCAGCGACGAAGACACAGAATCAAGAGCGAAACGGATGAGACACGAGTCTTCATACGATGACGAATATCTGCATGGAGACATACACACACGACATTCACTGCCAAATCAATTTAGCAGTGGTTCGTCGTTTCTCCAGGAGATGGCCTACTCCGCCCAGCAAGCGTTGGACCAAAGCCCCGAAAATGATGATCTCGCGCCTGTTGACCCTGCCCTCCAAGCGTATACCAATGGCGACTACAATCATGTGGATATGACCAACTCGTATCACACGAATGGCGATACCGTCATGTCATCAGTCGAGTATCAACCGATCGACCCGATGCTTATGGACGGAATGGAGCTCACAGGACATAACGGAGAAGTACACGGTCCCAGCGTAGAGCCGCTCACACCGGGTCCGCCGCCTCACAACGACACCTCACAGACGCATACAAACGGTTACGTCTCGAAGCCTGGACCAGAAAATCACGCCGTCCGCCACCCATCATCACCGGTCTCGCCCAGACACGTCTCCGCAGCATCTCCTCCAATAAATACCAACAACAGCAACCACCATACCTACAGTCCCTACATAACCTCCCCCGCTACAAACAACTACAACAACTTTACCACAAACTCTGATTTCCCTCCCCCACCCATCACACCCACGCTCAACAGCTCTTACAAAGCTCGTACACAACAGTCGTCAGGCCGCAAACCTAGCCACACGCCCTCGCGCGCTGGTCGCAACAGTAAGACGCCTAAATCAACGCCTAGCAAGCGGCGAGACAACGGGACTGGCGGGATCAAGCTCGAACATGGTATAAGCATGGGTACGGGCATGGGCATCAGTGTGGGCATGAATGGAGGTATGGACATGGGCAACATGCTCAACATGATTGACCCAAATCTTGATCAAGCGAGCTTCGATCTTATCAAGCAACTGCAGCAAGAGGATTTGGGGTTGAGAAGACGAAGTCGTTGATCCTTTCGTCTCTTTGTCTTGCACGCCACTATCACCGAAAGGCCTTTCTCTCCTTTTGTTTTTCCTTTCCACTCGTTCTTTGAGTTTTCACAATTTCGACTTTCCTTGTTCTGCATTGATTTGGGACACCGGCGTTTACAACATATCTCTGTAACGGGATAAATGGATTTGCGCGGCGTTTTTGCTTATACCCCAACTACTTGACACTGGGATAGTGTATATTGCAACCTTTCTTTTTTCTTCTCTTTTTCAGTCACAAGGAGGGGAAGGAGGCGTTTGTCAGCCAGCATGGACTGTGCTTTCTTATTGTTAGCGGCAGGCGGGATGCATGTATGGTATCATAGATAATTGGAACTAATCGACCTATCATGGAAATGGAAACATGTTCGAACGAAGTTGACCCAAGGAAGCTTGATTTTAGTGGATGACATACCCATGTGCCAACATGTATGCTCGAGGTAATACTTAGTAATCTGCACTACCACTCTACTAGGAAAAGTCACAGTGTATGCATTTTGGGTATATTCTCCTTGTGTTCCGTCATTTCATTGGACATGTCTAGTCGTAATATTGTTTCAATGCTACACTGCAGCAATCATGAGCTGCCATCTGCCTTGATCCGCCCAGCGCTACTATTGGGTGACTTTCAGGCCCTCCAGTGACTTTGTAGTCGCCTACTCCAACGCACTAGTAACATTGGAGAACTCGCCCTTCTTGAGCTTCGTCTCCCAGAAGATGGGATTCGTGTCGTTGAAGCCGTGCTTGACCCAACCATCCTCCTTGACGTGGTACAGGTTGATGAAACCACCAGAGTACGCATCTCTGTGGGTAGCAGCGAGAATACTCCTTCGGCCAAGCTCGAGCGCCTCGTCGTCCTCAAGGTCGTACTTGTACTGTGCGTCAAGCACACCGTATGCGAATGTCTGACCGGAGCCGACACAGAAGAGGTTGCCGGCTAGACGGGTTCCGTCGCTGTCGATGTAGTAGAGGGCGGGGCCTTCTTGTGGGGTTACGCCGGCGCACATGGTTCCCTGAGCGTAGTGTGTTAGTTCAGCAAAGTAGATGGGTTGACGAGGAAGGGCGGAGACGTACCATACTTAGACCCATGCCCTTGTATGAGTAGACAAGATTGGCTAGGATCTTGGAGGCCGCAGCGACGGAGATACGGCGCTTGTGTCGGAGTTCGTGGAGGCGACATTGCATGCCTAGGTATGCGAGCCAGTATTGGCAGTCCTATCTTGCATCAGTATTCAGGTTCCTTTCTGTCTTCTTGTCGTAGTGGTGATTGTACGTACAGCAGCGCCACCAGCCATGGTTCCTAGCAAGCAGTTGTTGATCTCAATGACCTTCTTGACCGTCTGACTGGCTATCCAGTTTCCAGCTGTTGCACGCGAATCGGTGGCTACGATGATGCCGCCCTTGAAGCGGAAGGCGAGGGTTGTGGTACCGTGGGCAATCTTGATAGGACAGTTAGGGTTGGAGTAGTCGTCCGTCATTGCGCGGAGCCATGATGCTGACTGTGTTGTTGTTGTTGTTAGTACGTTGCGCTCTCTATTGTAGAGGCATGATAGAGCGCACCTGAGCGACCGGTGGTAGGGCAAACTTGAGGGACAGCTCTGGGGTGCCGCTGTAGAGCTGCAACTGCTCTTCCTCTGACGGGCCTTCCTCTGTATACGCCGGTCGGCTGTACTGCGACACTAATGAATCCATAGTTGCGGCGATGTGTATTGGCGGAGATCAGAGGGTATCAGAGACGTGATCGAGTGGTTGCGGTGGGGTGGTTTGGTTGTTTGGAGTGGTGATGTGAGCTCGAAGCTCCGGCGTTGTCGGTAATGCCAAGACGTAGCCGCGTCCTAGCTGTTGCCTTCACCACTGGGGCAGTCGCATCCAGGGCACTGTCTACTACACCACACATTGCTGCTTTTTCAACCACCTTTGCGCGTAGGCTTTAGTAGAGCAAAAGAGCCACATGAGGTGCTCTGGTCTCTATCACACCCTTCTCTCTTCGCTATTGACTTCGCAGACACCGCCACTTGCACAGTAGCAGCCGTGATGAGCACTGCGCGTTCGTCGCGCAACGTCTTTGACTATCGCAATAGCACCGACTTTTTTTCCAAGACAAAGAGAACGGAGACACAGTAGGAAGAGTTTCTGTGCGACCATGTTGCATTCTTACATACGTCATCCAGTAGTGCAAGTCCTCTCATCAACCAAGGCACGAACGGGCGTTGGGGCTCAAGCGTCACATGCCGCCCGTTGAGACTTGAGGTCAGGCAAGACATCGCGCCCGCCCACGCGCTCATCTCCCACCCTCATCAGCCTCCGTCACTCGCCCAGCGGACTTGAACACATGTTTGCATTGCCTATATGCAGGCACCATCAACAATCATGCAGGCACCGTTCTTACCCACTGTCTCATTTGTTCCCTTCACTACTTGCAGATGTGCGGCCCGCGTGCGAGTCCGGCGCTGCGTGCATGATGGTAACGAATGATCTTTGAGGGCAGTGTTATATATATACAAGGACGCCTCATTAGAAAAAGTAAGAAAGGATTTGATCATACGTCTATTGTGTGTCAGTCGTAGGTTAAAGTACCGCCTGTTTCCATTGTCTTGTCTTCTTTCAAGTCTTCTGAATGCCCCGATACGATACAACACCTTATTCGTACTATCAGCCCTCGAGACCGCCTTCAAGCTACACACCAGCCTTTTCTTATACTGGTTACCATCGTCTTGCCCCGCCGACAGCACTTCACCCCTTGCCCACGCGCATCGATTCTGGTGTCGATATATCCTCGACACGCAGCAGACATGTGCTGGTTTACCCTAACACCAGCCAAAGGGGGAAAGCAACATCGCCCTTCTACAGACTCTTCATGTGTGGAGGAACTCGTTCGCGTCCATCGTAGTCCAGCATCGCCGCGTTTCAGCGACGTTCGCGTCAAGGTGCCTAACATAACCCTCGAGGTGGATGAAAAGGGTGGACACCATCACGCGCACTTTGACGCGCACCTGAATCATCACCACAGACATCCGCATTTGCACCCACTGCACATGCATCCAATTCACGGCCATCATCACCACCACGACCTTAGTATGTCCGACATTACAGAAGTTCGCCTTCGAGGCCCAGGCAGACAACGCACTATTTCAGCCCCTTGTCCTCCACCACCAACCCGCGAGCCATCTCGCTGCCCGCCAGCTTCTCGCCCTCGCCCTCGTCAACCCACCTACCATACCCAAATCGTTGAACCGACAACAAGTACAACAACAGTCCGAGAAAGCACCCGCGCGGCTCTCCGCAGCGTCCAACAAGAGCGAACGCGAGGTGCTTTACGCAGAGTTGCCGGTTACGAAGTCTTGGGTAAACAAACCCCGTGGGACTGGGATTGCATAAGTAGTACCGTGGGGAGTAGTGCAAGTGGCGGTGGGAGGTGGATGAGGAGGAGAAGACCAAGTGGATTGAAGTATCCGCCGTTTGGGACTATGGATCGGTGGATGTAGTGTGTAGTTTTCTTTGTTGAGGGCGATTTGGAGTCTATCCGCTGGGTCTGGGAGTGTGGAGTTTGGCTTTTATTGTGGTTATATACCCCCATCACGAACACTAATGAACATTTTCATAACCGTACCCCCATATCACCTTCTCTTCTCGATATACACTGGCCATGAATGCGGAACAACCGTAAAGTAAGCTTTCCACTGCCAGTTTTGCGTCGAGTCCACCTGTTTGATATTGTAATCCCTTACCAACGTCGCCGCAATCTTGGCGAGCTCAATCTTGGCAATGTTTTGTCCTGGACAACCACCGTAACCTGCTCCAAACTATGCAGATCAGTCAGCATGTGTTTCCAGCTTCAAATAATAGATCGATACGAAACAAGCAGCTCTACTCACAGGCATCCAAAACTTTTCCCTTGTACCACTGTCTTCTTCCAACCACCGCTCTGGTCTGAAAACATGCGCATCGGCACCCCATATCTCCTTTGAATAATGTATAACCCATGCTGAGATTTAGAATAAAGAATCAGCTCAGCCAGCAGATGGGGTGCTCGAGATCTCTATACTCACGGTTGATTGAGATAATGGTTCCCTCAGGTATAGTACGATGGCCAATAGTCAACCCTCCCTTGGGCGCAATACGTGGAAGACCCATAGGTACAGGACCAAAGACTCGAAGAGCCTCTTTCACACAGGCTTGCACAAAACTGTTCATTATCAGTCTGAAACAGCTTCACGAGCAGGGTTTGAGGACTGCCTTCTTACCCAAGTTGCTGTGCGTCAGCATAAGACACCACCCGATCTCTACACAACCCCTTTTTGACTGCTTCAGCAACCTCGTCATGAGCACGCTCCCATGCGTCAGCGTGACGAATCATATGATAGACAAACGACTGTATTCCTGCAGCAACGGTATCAGATCCTGCTCCTACGGCAGCAAGTGCCTGGGTATTGATCTCCCGTATGGTGAATTTATCCGGATGTCGCTCATGTTGCTTGAACCAGTATTGAACAGCATCATAACGGGCGTTTTCATTCTTTTCCCTTTCCGCCAATACGGTTTTAACGGTGTCGAATAAATGACCCATTGGTAGTATGGAGAGCCAGGTCATGATTGGGTTGGCCAGCAGCGCAATGTTGATCCAGCGGAAGTAGCCCGCTACTGCAACGTATGCATTCAGAGCAAGGGAATTCTCGATTGAGTTGCCGATGTCTTTGCCTTGGTCAAGGAAGCCGAAAGACTTCGAGAAGACGACTTCACCAATGACGTCAAAGGTTGCGTATGAGATGAAGGTATTGAGGTCCATTGGTTTCTTGTCTGTTGCATATTTGTTCATCCATTCGAGGAAAGACTCAAAGGTGCGGTCGATGTGCTCTTCTGAACGGAGTAAATTAGACACGGTGTATGCCGCAGCGATGTGCTTTGACTTTTCGATCTTCTTCTTGGGGTCTGTGGTACTCATGGGCGATTGAAAGCGGTAGTCTGGCAGAGCATGAATTTTGTACCAATTGGCCTTGTGATCATGTCAAACATCCATTCGATCAGAGGTCTTGTCTGCATAATACCTTGTGAAGGGGCGCTAATAAGATCTTCGCAATGGCATCTGGGTGACTGACGCTTACTTCGTCGTATGATATGCGAACGAAGTGACCTATAAGGTCTGTGAGCGGATGTCCAACGACAGATAGCCTTACACATCGTATAAGCTTACCATGTTGTTGGTGTAGTCGTATCAGCTCGAGATTTTGATCACCCTTGAGGATACGGTGCATATGCCAAAGGCGGGTAAACGATGCAGCAAACGGCCCAGGAATATCGCTGATCGCTGAGAAGTACCGACGCCATGTGAGCAGGGTCAAGAGACTGACGCTTGCAAGAGAAATGATTAATAGCCAGTCCATATCAACGTTGTAAGAATACCCGAGAGCTACTTTGGTTTGTACAAAACCTTGAGCCGTAGATTCTACGCGAGCCGGAAGATATGCTGCGGCACAGCGAAGTGGGATGGGAGTCTTGGTCTCGGATCTCGAATCAATTAGGAATAGTGGGATGCAATTCTAACCCAATCGATACTCTATGCCCTGTTAGCGCGGACAAGGACGGAATCCTACAAACTTCTCCAAGGAGTCATGGCCACAACACTAGGTGAAGCATTAAGGGCTGCGATTTCAAGATCAAAGTATATAGTACTTCAGCATTTCGAGTCATAACCCAAGTCTATTGTAAATTTCCGGAGCAACTTGCTTGTTGTAGTGCCATGTTAGGTGAGCCTTGCGCATATACATCAGTCATAGTGACGGTCGGCTGCTGTCGCAAACCTCCTGAGTTGGTGAAATGCAGCTCCTCAATCTCACCTGTTGCTAATCCTTGTTGTTTGACTTTGCCTTCGACGAGCTCTTCTTGCGACTCGTTAGTGGTAAGACCATTCTCCAGCCTCGTAATGGATCCCATAGAAGAGTGCTTGTTTCGCTCGCCCCGCTTGCCTCTACGTATAAAAGAGAGGGAGTATGGTTTTTCCAAGGATGGCTCATTACTGCCGGCTGAGCTGTATTTACCTCTGACCTTAGTCCAAAGTGCTTTCATCGCAGGCAGGTTAGCCGCAACAATGGCACATTGGACCTCGAACGATGCAACAATGATCATCTTCCCTACATCTATCGAGGCATCTGTCTTCATCGAGGACACCGATATAAGGACTGGTAGGCGGAGGATCGCGACAGTGACGGAGATTATGCCAAAGGCGAGAACGGAGATGACAGTGACTTTGCGACGTAAGTTCATCCGGAGCGACAGAACGGAGGGTATCGGGAGGCAGATGATATAGAAGTCCATAAAGATGTTCTAAAGAGCTATGCGTTAGTATTTACGCAGTATGTAGAGACGACGGACTATAATGCAACGGTGCTGAGAGTCAATACGTACAAGAATAGGTGGAGTGAGCATGATAGTACGCATGTCGATGCAAGTAACCTCGGGATGCAACATTGGATTGAGGATTTTCTCAAAAGGTACGCATTGCAAGACTGTCACAAGCCTAGATACTATCAGTCTGCGACGCTGTGAAAGGTAGGATCATATGACTCACAGACTAGATATAAAGACGGAAAATGCGAGTGCAAAGCCAAGATAAACTAGGCTGCGAAACACCAGGTCGACAGAGAGCCGTAGGTAGAACAAAAGGAAGGTAATCTTGATGACTGAATGCGCGCCGTAGATAACAATCTCTTCAATAAACGCTGTCTGTGTGCTGATTTAGCTCTTGTATCTCTTGAGATGGTGCTATGCTGAAGACTTACCCGAAGAAGATCAAGGGACTGAAAGCTGCAATTTAGATTGCCTGGCCTGTTGCAGTCAGACGGGAAGTCTTCGTCATGCCTCAAACTTTCACACTTCAACTCACTTGCCACATCCCAGATTTAGGAACATTTGCAAAACAACTTGGTGGACAATACTAACGATCTGGCACAGTAAGCAGTGGTAGAGACTTCGTAGGTTGGCCATAGTGTACCAGTACAGCACACGAAGCTGTATCATCCCAACCCCATGACTTTAAAATCAGTGCGCGAGAGTAGAAACGCGCGATAGATGACAGCAATCCGATAGAGAAGGTAATGTAAGCAACAACATACGCCCATTCATAGAGATCTATCGCCATGCTGAGATAGCAGATTTGGGAGTCAGCGCCGGAGAAGGGAGTAAACAGTCCACTAGGCAAGGCGGAGGCGAAGGGACTCATTTCAGGTACGCCTGCACGTGGGCCAAACCTCTACACGATGCCCAAGAACGCACTCATGCAAAAAAGAAATAAAAGAACATTATCACGCCTCATCCGGCACGCTGATTTGTCTGGCGCAACGGGGATACACGCCACGGCACGGCATGCGGCACGATCCAACGTGGACCTTGTAAAGCCACATGTCTTTGTCGCCATCTTTGGAAATGTAGACGCTGATCACGAGTAATTAGAACCCACCATCTCGGGCGATACGCGTTCTCGGAACGCGAGGAACTGCTGAAGATGACGGAGTGAGCGGAGCGGAGTGGACAGCTATGACCGTGACGACGTGACACGCGGCAAGGTAACGGCGCCTCCGCCTTGGCAATGTTGGTGCGCACAAGCGATACCACTTTCGCCAAACTGCGCATGAAGACAAGCCTTTGGGGGTCGAAAAGAGCCACGTGAAATTGGTCAGAATGAGGCGGAGCGTAAAGAGACCGAATGACGTTTTGGAAGGCACACCAATGTAATACGTTAGCACTTGCAATCGAGAAGACAGAAACCAATATCTCATAGTATTGTGAGTTCAATATTTTTTATATGGATTCGTATGCAAACGCACCCGTATATGATGAAATCTGCTGGCCTCATATTGCCAGGTAACGAATGCCTAAATCAGACATCCTTAACAAAACCAACCTCAATAACCTTGTCCATCGGAACACTCAAACTAGCAATCTTCGCCCTCGAGTTCTCCCGAATGAACAAGAAAGCATTTAGGAAGAACCGTCTGATGATGTTTGTGCCAACCTTGATCTTCATCGTTTCTTTGCCGATGATGTACAATACCTCGTGGTTGTATGCGCGTTCGAGGGCTTCTAAGCGCGCAGAAGTCGTTGAGCTGCGTGTTGGAGTGGATATGCCGCTTCCAGCAACAGTCTCAACGGTACCGTTCTTTTCAGTCTGAACGCCTGTAGCCTTCGTAGGTATCTCACCTTCGCGTTCAAGAGCTCGTGCGACGATGTGGTTGCGAACCTTCTCATAGATGAGGGAGGCCAAATCTGGTGTGATGACTTCGTCCATATACCCATGGCGTACTACTAGGCGGTAGCAGTTGGGAATTGCTAGTCGTGATACGCTGTACCGATTATCCGGGGCAACGAAAGGTACCTCTAGCGGCCGAAGATGAAAGAAAACGATAACTTCGGGGATCGTCACCAGCTTTCGAATGAACTGACTAAAGACAATAGGGGTCGTTTCGCCAGCTTTGTCGAAGAAGATTCCGAAACCCTCCATGGTTCCGACTGATTTGCTGCCAAACATCTCGGTCAATTCAAGGCGGCCGTCTTGTAATGTCTTGACGAAGTGTGTTGTTGGGAAGCGATCGCTAGCTTCCGCACCCCACTGTTGCTCTTTGCCGAAACGCCAGAGAATAAATATGGATCCGAGAAGACAGGCCAGAAGAATAGTGAACCAGGCTCCATCTGGTACTTTGGTAAGTGCCGAGGATAGGTATGCGCCGTCCAGAGCAGCGATAGTAAGCCACGGAAGAAGCACGAAATATGGTTTGATGCGCCACACCAAGATTGCAACAAGCGTGACCATGCACGTGTCGAAGAACGTGACGAACATTACGCATACACCGTAGGCATTACCCAAGGATGTTGTGTTGTTGTAGATGGCAGCAACAAGGACAGTGCCGATCATAAGAAGCCAGTTGATGCTTGGAATGTACAACTGTCCATGGTAGGTTGTCGAAGTGTGAACAACCTTGATCTGGGGGAAGTAAGAGAGCTTCATGATCTGGGTAAGGAGCTGGAATGTCGCAGTGATCATAGCCTGTGACGCGACAATGGCAGCCGCGATAGCTACGATGAGCGAGAAAATGAGCCATCCCGGCGGAGCACAGTTATAGAAAGGGTTGGAGTAGGCCTCTGGGTGTACACTGATGTACGCAGCCTGACCGCTGTAGGCAAGGAGAAGACAAGGATAAGCGTATCCAAGCCAACTGATCTGAACCGCACGACGACTGAAAGCTCCAATATCGGCAAACAGAGCTTCAACACCAGTGAAGGCGAGGAGTATACCCCCAAGGCTCCTCCATCCTTCATACTTGTTTCTTATCAGGTAGTCGAACGCATAGAAAGGGTTGAAAGCCTTCAAGATCGTATGATCGTGCCTAGGATTATTAGTCAGGGGTACTATGATGCAACAAGAATACTTACTTGGCCAAGTTGTATATACCGAATCCAGCGTTCAAGGCCAGCCATAAAATGACAATGGGTGAGAAGACGAACGTTAGTTTCGAAATACCAAGCGGCTGTACGACGAACAAAAGAACAAGAATAGCGCATGTAACACCGATAATAGTAGACTTCTCGATGTCGGGCTTCACGACGTTGAGACCTTGTACGGCGCCCAAGACGGATTGAGCAGGAGTCAGCACGCCATCAGCCATGACCATCGATACGGCGAGTACGCCAATGACCTGCAGCAAGCCGCGAAAGAACTTGGACTTTTCGATCGTTGAGCGAATATTTCTCGTGGACCGGCCCAGATCATTGGTATTGTGTCGCTGCATGCCTGCCAAAAGAGTCAGTATAGATGAGGAACTAGTGCAGGAAGCACACTCACGTATCAGGGTAGCTTCACGAGGATCTCTGTTGGCAATGTTCGCCTGCATGCATTAGTGGCCGAAGATCATGTGTGAGTTTGAGCAGCATACATATTTTGAGAGGAGAGAGTATGTGCTGAATGTACCACCCTCTCCATCGTTGTCGGCGTGCAGAATAATCAAGACGTATTTGACAGTGACCATCAAGGTGACAGACCATAGTATCAGCGACAAAGCACCAAGCAGGTTGATTCGAGTAGGAGCCTCTGTAAACGTCGAGGAGTAAACATAGAGGGGGGATGTCCCAATGTCGCCATAGATGACACCGGTAGATTGGTACGCGAGGACGAGGATCTGTGTGAGACTGAATACCTGCGTCCTGTCAGTAGGCTGGTTTCGCACCAGTCGTGTACGCCCTTACCTGGCTGCGTTTAAAATCGCGCTCATCGCGCAGACCAGCATCCTCGTCTTCCGCGTCTTCCAGTTCGCTAATCTTCGCATCTACGGAAGTCCTGTTCACATGCGACTTCGTGCGTGAGCGCATAGGGTACACTCCACCCACGGACTGCGTCCGAACTGGATGCACCTCTGCATCTGCGAAATGAATTGAGGTATCCATATTAGGCTGTGGGAGTTGTACGCGAAGACAGTAAAGCACTCTCGCAAGACTTATACCATCCCGTTATCTTGCTAGGGCTGTGGCTGTCTGACAATCTCATCGAGTAACAAGCTCCTGCTACCGGCGCAAAGCTTTGGTTGGCTCTTAGCCTTGTGCTTATCGTGAGAGCAAATTGCCCACGTGTAGTTAGCTGGATCATGTTTAGGCAGGAAGGCGCAGCACTGCGGCATTTTTCTTTGAGCGTCGGCGCGCGGGGTATGTAACTCGTAGAGCTTGCTTTTCGGCGCCGCAAAGGAAAATGTCGCATTTCCTTAAATCCCGCACCCTATGGGTTGTTGCCAGCGGCGATGGCTAAAAGCAGGCTTTAGTCCTCGAATCCTGAAGGATACCATACTCAGAAACCTGACGAGGATACAATCATGCCATCATGGTGTGAAGCGATCATTCACCACCATCTTCAGAGGTCAAGAGACTTTACAATGCAGGCTTCTATGCGGGACGATCAGCTGAAGTTTGGCGCCAGTGTGGGATGTTTGTGTAACGGGAAGCTGCATGTTCGCTCAGGGTGCAGCTAAGATCTTCATTAAGCCAATCACCAAACGCACTAAGACAAAAGTGGGTCAAACTGCTAATGCTTGGTCTGACCTTCTTCGCTGCCCGTGGGGTCGTCTCGACTACGCGTCGAACGATCTGCCGCACTGCATCCGCCTTCATGAACAACCTAATCCAAGCTTCACTCGACATCTGCAACACAGCTCAGTAAGTGGCTAGTTCCGCTCGCGTTCATACTATCTGCTTGTAATGTGCACAAGGCTACGGGGACGATCTTAGCAGAGGCGTGTTTGCATCTAAAAGCTGGTCAACCTACAAACGCCTCCTGAGTCGCTCCTTCCATACTCGCTCCCTCTAGTTTTATTACTCGACGTTTGACTTCAATCCACTCATGTGGAACTATCCTCCTCGAAAAAACAAAGAATAGATCGTGATTGGATTTGTCTCTCCTTCTACAGTTGGCAAGCAGGTCGTTCGTGGTGTAAGCCCACACACCACTTCGAGTTTGAATCATAACTAGAATGCTAGATGGGTCCGCAGCGAGCTTCGATAACCAGCTCAATTGTTAATTCAAGTGTTTTGCTCTTCGTTGGTGATATAGCTATTTCACTAGCCACACACGCATGAGTGTATCGACTTACCACTCTCGCGGTGTTGAGAAGCTTTCGAAGTTTCCAAAGATCCACGTGCGCACCCCACGGCTTTTGGAGACGGGTTGAAGCGACAAGCGATTATAGAGCACACGCTCTTCAACTAGTGATGGCCACAACTATTAAATATTCTGAAAGATCCATTCCGTACGAACTCAAGAATATATATATATGTATTGTTCTAATATATCAGAAAGCGGTCTATGTACCAAATCGATGCCGCAAGCGACTCCCCAACTCCGCATCATCACCGGGTATACCACGCTTAATTCATACAAGCACTGAACACATCGCTCATCTCAGCATCCTCTTCCATGTGTCTCCTATGCGCTGTGAGTAAGCCGAAGGCATCCACTTCTGGAGTATGTCCTATAACTCGTCGTGCGCATCTGGTTCGGGCATCTTGATAGGTTCCTGTGGCCTATTCAACTCGGCATCGATGCTGACGCCCTTCTTCGCACGATACTTCTCCCAGACACTCCAAAATTCCTTCTCCATACTCTTTTCCATTTGATCGGGTAGTACGACCACGTATTCAACATGCAAGTCACCATACTGCAGACCCTCGTTGTTTTCGAGGTGTTGGTGCCATATTGGCATACCTTCTTCTTTGACGATCTCAACGAGATTGGGTTGAACGACCTCGCCACGTTTACGGGAAAGTTGGACAATGTGGCCGTCCAGGTGTGTCACGTTACGTGTCCAACCACCCATCCATGCCTCACGAAGGGAAAGAACTTCGCGCCAGAAGAGATCTTTACCTCGTCTCCTGAAGAAAGTTCCGTCTGTGCGCTCGTGCTCTTGTTCTCCCATTGCAGGCTCCGCCTCAGTGAGGTGTACGATGAGGTCGCCGGCAACGTAATCGGGGCTTTCATCCGCTTCGTTCTCGTAGGTGACGCGTACACCCTTGGACATGCCCTTCTCGATTTCGAGAGTGTGAGTTTCGGCTTCACGGATAACTCTGCTACCACTGCAGACAGGGCATGGATGCTTGATCGTCTTTCCTTTACCGTGACATTGGTCGCAATGCATCTGTACTTGCTGGAATAGGCCGGGTGCGAGTTGTTGTCGTTGGATCCTGACACCGCGTCCACCGCATGTGCCACATGTCTCTACATGCCCATCTTCGGAGCCTGAGCCCTCGCAGGCCGAGCATATCGCCTGTTTCTCGATTGTGAACTCCGTCTTTCGGCCGTTGTAAAAGTCGCGGAGTGGCAGTGATACTCGCACTTCCATGTTTGGCCCTCGGCGCTCTCCTCCTTGATGTCCGAAGTGTCCTGAGCCGCCGAAGAAGCGCGAGAAGAGGTCGAAGGGATCGTGTTGACGTGGACCGCCGCCTTGCTTGTGCTGTTGGATACCATCGTGGCCGTATTGGTCGTAGATCTTCCGTGTTTCCTTTTCACTAAGAACCTCGTAGGCTTCAGCTACCTCGACGAACTTCTTGCCCGCCTCATCGTCACCACTGTAAAAGGTTAGAGATCTAGGCAGGATTCTAGGACTTGTAGCCGTACGGGTTCTTGTCTGGGTGGTACTTCTTGCTCAGCGTTCGATAGGCCTTCTTGATCTCGCGATCTGAGGCATCTTTCTTGAGGCCCAGTAGCTACATCATCTATGTTAGCCAACACGCTTCAACTTGGAAGTGAAGTGAAGACCAAAGCAAACACAAATGTGCTCTCTGCATACCTTGTAGTAATCCTCTGCGCCAACAACTAGAAGTGCTAAACAGGCGACCACAAAGAACAGCGCTATCCGTAGGAGCATCTTGTACTATGAATCGCGCCGACGGCGATGTCGAAGTTGCGAAAGTGAGTGGACGGAATATAAGTATCCGATGTAATTGCAAGGGCAAACGTCTACATGAGTTCGCAGATACGAGGCGAGAGCAAGCGACGCCAAAAAGAAGGAAATGGAGTGTTGTGAATGGAAAGTGACTTGAAATGGGGAAGTTGCGAATGGGACACGATAGCAGTAACGTTGATTATGCGACCAATCGGAGTTAAGCCTTGGCATTACCGACTTCACTTTTCATGCGTAGCAATTCCGGCGCGACAGCAGTCAATTGAGGCTGCACCACCGCTCACGCCTCCGACCCGCGATCAGACACGATACGAGGACGTATTGAGTTGCCGTCTTACTATACGGCCCTTGAAATAAACTTTTGCGTGCGCATCCCGCGCTAGGAAACCTCCGCAGGACCTCCGCAATCACCACACCACCCTCACCCAACTGCACATCCACCCACCCACCATGGCGTCGATAGCGACCAAAGCGGTAGCCGGAAAACCAATCGTCCCACAATGCCTCACGAGTCATAAAGTTGGCGTCGTAGTCTCGGCGGGCAAGATGTCCAAAGCGGTACGGGTGCGCGTCGCAGAACAAGAATGGAATAAGAAGTTCAGAAAAGTGCGTTGGCTCGAAGATCGCACACAAGACCATGCCAGTGCTGACGATAAAACAGCACTTCCCAGCCCCCAAAACATACATAGCCCGCGACCCTAACAATTCCGTCGTGGAAGGAGACATCGTGCGCATAACATCCGGACACCGCACCTCCAAAGTCATCCACCACGTCGTAACATCCATCGTCGCGCCCTTTGGCGAACCCGTAGAAAACCGACCACCAGTCCTCTCCCAAGCACAATTAGACGAACAACGCGTCAAAGAGCGATTATTGAAGGACGTAAGGGCAGCGGAGCGGGGAAGACAGACGAGCATCCAGAGATTGGCGCAGGCAAGGAAGCAGGGCTTAGAAATACCAACTCTTGAGGAAGCCATGGAGGCAATGAGGAGACACACTGAGGCAGAGAAGGCACGGGCTGAGGCGCACGATGGACAGGCTGGTCAACAGAAGACGGCAAAGACGAGAAGAGTGGAGCAGGGCAAGAAGACGAAAGCAGAAGTTGAGGCGGAGAGCAAAGTTAAAGCTGCAAGGAAGCAGACCGCATGAGGCAGATGTTGAGGGAAACTTTGTAGAACATATTGTGTACACATCAGACATAGCCAAAACTGCCTACACGGTGAGTAATGGCAGCGCATCGTTCAACCCCTACGTTCTCCTTGATGGTAATTATCGCCCACAGAGATCCGCAGCGTTCGGTTATGATCAACGCTCGGCTTTCACATTGGCTCTCATCTGTCTTACTACGTCACCATCAGTCTGTCGAACGAAGTCCTTGGCGCTTAGAACCGTTGTACAGATCCGAAAGAGACCATGCCATGCATGACATTGAAACGTCCTACCGGTGTAAGCATAAAATAGCAAGTAACCAAACCATCAAGACAATAAGTTAGACCGACATGACATTTTAGTACATAGAGAAGTGATAGTGGTTGGGCGTGCTACCGCCCATGCTGCCCCAGATTTCCCTTTTACGATCCGCTGTCAAAAATCTTGGCGTGCCGGCATCCGAAATTCCCATGGTTTCTCCAGGCTTTTGCTTTTGGGGAGTGTGGTGGATTTCCATCGTAATAGGTGTACTGTTCTGGCACTAGGAATCCTAGCTGGATATCTACAGGGTCGCTTATATATATAGTGGCTGGTCAAGAGGCGTTTGCCGGATATCCGGCCTGTCTTGTTCCAATACAACGGTAAACACGAAGGACACAAACGGAGGATCATCATGCGCGAAACAGACATATCGATTTGGTGACATTGCGGTCAGCGCTCCCATTACTCCTTTCAGCATTCGCTGTTGGGCTGTGATCCTCATTGGCATACCACTTGGTGCTACTCCTCAACGGTTAAAATCCCACTTATGTATAGCACCACCACAGCCGACCTTGGCTGCTTAGCAGGCG